AAAACAGATTTGATGTTATATAAAGAGAAGGAAAACTAGACTCAAACCACCCGTCTGGCCATCGTAGTATAATAGGCAAAAACACCCTTTCTAATGCTCTCCTTAGAAAGGGTGTTTTGCCTTCAATAGTCCACTTCTGGACATAGGCCTCTGCCTATGTCCAGAAGTGGACTATTGAAGGCTTTTGATGTGATGTGATAAATCATCTATTAGAGCTTCATAAGGAAATTATAGAAAATAATAAGCAAAATTGTTATAATTAAATAAATCATTTTATATAATAATGGACACCTGCAACTCAAGAGATGTAAGTGCGAAGAAAATTGTCCTTTTTTTTTTTTTAACGTGTGGAAATCCCCTCGGACCGTCACCCCACCGGGGTTTGCGGCGGGGTGGTGTGTCGGACTCGGACCGACTAAAACCACACGGTGTGCCACTCTGCGCCTGTAATAGGAGGGATCCGGGAACAGCTGTTATTAAGACATCCGGACCCCTCCTAGCGCCGGCCCGCTCCTGTTGCGGGCCCCGTCTCAAAATTTTCCTCTCTTTAGGCGACGTCCGGCACACGCGGACGCCGCCCCCTCGCGGCTGGCCAAACTAATGCGGGTGGAGGGGAAACCCACCCCGTCCAGCCGCGGCCACACTCAGGGCGGCATGAGGCGGTGATAGGGTCCGAGTGGAAGTCGTCCTCCCGGGCCTTCTCCGCCGCCCCCTTCTGCGAGATTACTTCCTCGCAGAAGGTTGCGACCGCGGTAAAACAACTGTCGCTACCGGCCAGAAGAAAGAAAGAAAGAAGAAAATTGTCCTGTGGTAACCTCAAGACTTGGTGAAAAGTAACGAAAGAATTAGTTAGCACCTGTTTTTTGTGAGTCCGTCGTATCATTCCGGTCGAGCCAGCTTATATGTCCTAAAGCATGCCCAGATGCATTTTGAGTGATCCCTCTTTTTGGTACTTAATACATAAAGTTTCTAGAATCCAGTGCCTTTTAACATTCGTATGTAAATGCCATGTTAATTTAACACAACAACAACAATTTATATTTTTAAAAAATGTTAGTAAAATATTTGATAAGTATTTATATTACGAAGCCGGCTTTTTATAAAATGTAGGACATACTAGCAAACGACGTCATTGAGAATATGAGCGTCTAGCCATACTCACTTCGGCGCCAAAGAGTCTAGTGGCAATGAACAGGGCTGAGAGACTTTTGACAAATATTATCTAATCTCACAACGAGGCCCAATATCTTTAGAAATATTCTTCACCTACCTTTTTTACTTTCACTCTACTATCTTAAACTTAGCATTTATGATGTTCATGTAGATTTCAATAATTCTCTATTCTTTATACAAATGTTTTTTTGGTAAATTTAAATGAGTGTTAATTTCATAGTATTATGCCCATTTAAAATTATTTTGATCAGTATATTATGAAACGCCAAGTACGCCATATAGGACTATGAAAAAAATATCAAATGTTATTATATAATCTAAAAGGATATTAAATAAAAAGTAAGTATACAGCGATACATTATTAATGACAGCCTTTTCAAAAGAACGTTATAAAAATTCAGAACATTTTTTTTCCAAAACGACAAAAGGAAACATGACAAGACGTTAATAGGCTCAATCGGTAGAAAAACACGAACTGGGATCATGACGATGCCTTGAGGCACTGCTTCACTTTTAAACTTCCTAAGAGTATGTGGGTTGGATAAGATTACAACAGGAACTTTCTCCCCAATTAGCATTTTGGGAATTTACCGCCAATATAATTTTAACTTAAGCAGTTCTAGTTATAAGGGAAAAGATTTACGTCGGTTTTGATTTGTTCGTAAGATTGCTCAAAAATTGGCACTTGAGATTTTGGAAAAGTTTATTTTTACAGTTATTTGAGGCAAATATATATTATGACCTTTTTTGTTAGGGTGAAATGGGCCCAGACTTTGCTTATTTCGGATATTTGGTTTGAGAATATTATTAATTATGAAGCCCGCATTTTTCTTTTATCAGTTATTTAATTAAAAACCTGGTTTTTATTTAATTTTAAGATATGAATTACATTCCTTCTGAATATAAAAAGTAATAGTTCACCGACTTATAAAAATACTTGGAAGAGTAAAAAAAGTAAAAACCTCACATCGAGGCTTTAACAACTGAACCCCTGCGCACGTTTTATTTTTAATGTACTCGTACATTATTCTTCATGACCCAATTGTGTTAGCTTCTGAAAGCTCGGCATAAAATATTAATGAAACAAAATTCATATTTGGTGTTCCAATAAAGGCCAGTATCCGCTTATCATCAAGCAGCTAGTGTATAGAAGACACTAACATAAGAACACTGAATAATATTGCGTATAACAACATTTCAAAGTCATCGTCACACTCGGGTACTCTTGTAGAATATTAGGTACATACTGTTTATATTAAAAAACTCATCGCAGCTTGCTAAATTGACTTAAAAGGTTTGTGACTACAGCCGGTGCACTCTGGTCGAAACTTCAAGCAATTGAAAGCACATACTTTATTATATATTTAAACATAATTATTTATCATCGTAGTTTGATCCATACCTCAGTTTATCATTTTTATATTACAACTTAAATTAATAATAAATAATCTTAAAAGGAAAAAATCAGTGGATACAAATAGCTTTTGCCCGCGGCTTCGCTCTCGTAAATATCGGTTATCGCGGTCAAAAGCCTATGTCCTTCTTCAAGAATCAAAGTATCTTCATACCAAATTTTATCTAAATCGGTTCAGCGGTTTAAGCGTGAAGAGGTAATAGACAGACAATGAGACAGACAGACACACTTTCGAATTTACAATATTAGTATGGATGCTATCATGGTTCAGGGTACTATAATAAGATATTTTGTAAATTAGTGACTATTAAATATATCAAAATAAATTCTTAACAATAAAAGGAATTGTATTAGGTATTACGATGTATTAAACTTGCTATGACCTGAGGCCCAGCCTTCACAGATAAACGTGATTTAAACTTATACCGTTGAAACTACATAAGTTTTGAGACAAATAAACTTAAGGAGATTGTACACGAGAGGATTTAAGTTTAACTTTAAATGCTTGGAATTTTCTTTTTACAGTTAACATAAAGTAAAATGTGTATTTCAAGAATACCCTACTAGTCTTGGGTCCAATGGGGGCTTTTTTAGGAGGGGAAGTGAGCTGTCACGTTTGTGCCAGGCACCGCACCCGCATCTCCAAAATATACAAGTTAGTAAGGGGGCGTCCATTAATTACGTAAGGGGCTTTTGGAGATTTTCTACCCCCCTCCCCGCCTGGTGAGATGAAGGCGATGAGAAAGGCGAATTTATTAAAAAAAAAAAAAGTTGTTTAGTATATTTATTAAGACTAGTTTAGACTAGTATGAGTCTAGTTCAGACTAGCCTAGTCTAGCCTACTTTCGAAGCAATCCTAGTTTGACTAGGATTGTTTCGAAAGTAGGCTAGAATCATAGTGAGAATTAAACAATAAAATCCTTAAATCGTAACTACTGAAATAAATGAAAGAATATTTATTTCAATTCTATCCACGGAGACTCATGCACTATTAGAACCAACTTGTCCATGTGATAGCTTAGTAGCTCGTCTGTTGACAATCCATAAGGGACGCACTTTGCGCAATGTGTGCACTTGTGCAGCTAGTGTTTTGTGGGCGATGAACGTGAACAACGGGCTACTGTGCAACTTCGCGCCACTCGCAAAATCATGATAAATATTTTGGAATAAGATTTGGCCATATTTCCATTGAGGAACATGTTTAACTTAATATAACCTACTTTTCTCGCAATTTAACTCTATTTCTTGCGGATAAAAAAAAAAATTTGACGAGACCCCCCCCCCTAAGATTAGATGAGATTCAGTTCGACCCCCCTCCCCCCTGAACGCCTCACGTAATTAATGGACTCCCTCTAAAGCCTAAATTTTTTTAACCTGAATAATGAATTGTAACATCTTAAAGTACAGTCTGAATTGAAGCAGTCCTCCATTATCAATTAAATATTTTTATATCTTTAAATCAATCATTAAATATGAAAGCTAGGGATGACGTCACGTCATAGCATTTCACACAAAATTGTACCGCGTATATTGTTTTGATGTTGAACAAAAATAGTGATAGATGGGTAGAAATTCGACTTCAAAGTCATCTGCCTTATATAGTATGAGTACCACCCACGAAAGTTTGTATTTTAAGAGTATATGAAAAGACATCACTCAATTTATTATAATATTTCTGTTATTTCTCCTGAAAAGATCTTTTACCTCACAAACATGGCTCAATCATCAGTAAATAATATTATGTAACCACGGTAATATTTGATGTTATTTTCATTATTGCCAAACTGTAAACAACTTGCCTCCACGAATGTTCTAAAATCTATTTTTATCGCTCCTTCCGTTTACTTTTGGACTGTAACAACAAGTAGGTAATAAAAATACGTGATCTTTTAATGCATCACTTACTCCTTATATTCCGAGAGAAAAGAAAAATATAATACTTTATACAGCTTTCAAACAACAGTTTGCGAGAATTTATGGTACGTTTTATATTTTGCACAAGCCTCGTGAATAATCGAATGTGTCGCCATCTATCACTTGGAACGTAAACTCCCTGGCGTCCATTTGACAGCAGCCGCGTTTTGTTTTTAATCAACTTTTAAAAGCAAAAATGGTTGTCAAACCCAGAAAATAAAAACATAATTCATAAACGGCATTTACTCTAGAACCATTACTTATCTAGGAAAAGCGGTAGAGCTACTTTCTTAATTCTTTCGATTTTTAAGTTTTCTTAAGACCTCTAAATCAGTGCCATTCCTGAGAGCCCGTGAGTCTAGAAAATATGCACTCACAAGAATAGAAGCCATTTTAGAACCAAAATTACCTTAACTTCGGTTTAATACGTAGAAACACTTATGAAAAAATTGTAATGTTGATTCAGCTGGTAAGACGTGACGTATAGACGGACTGGCATATGGACAGTCAGGCGCACCGAAAGACAGACAAGTATACCAATGGTCAGGCGTACCGACGGACAGGTGTAACGAGCGACGTCCACGTCTACAGCGAGAGACGAGATGGTGCTGGTCGGGTGTCGGGTATGTCTATGACCTTTAAACAATAAATTAGTTAGTTACGAGTGCAGCTAAGACGACCGTGTTAGTAAAAATATTTTACGATTCAAATAGAGTTGAATTAAATATAATTACAAAGGATATCATTCAAAATGTACCCAAAATTTAAAGTGCCGGCCAGTAAAAAAAAACTGTGTCATCTTACGGCAAATGATCTTTTAAACATATTTTATTATCACAACAAACGTCTACGACCAACTTTTAGACCCAAAATGGATCTCCGAAAATCATAAAATGAGCATTTACATTTACATTTATGTACGAGAAGAAGATCATGCTGAGAACGTCGAAGATAATTTAGAAGCAGATCCAGATGACGATCAATCTTCTACCTCTCAGCCCTCGCTAATGACTTTACCTGGATTTGTACGTAGTCCAGATACAAGATGAACTTGCGTTTTTCAGCATTGTGAAAATAGTACTAGGCATGGAATCCCTTATAGCATTGTACTGAGAATGCTTAGCCAGTACAATTTATTATTATCAGAAAACAGCCGTGTTTGTGGTGAACATTTGCAGCAAGATTTATGGCATCTGCTTGCTGTACAACAAAATAATATTGCAGCATTTACAGCGAACCATATAGTTCGAGCCTTATCTATATTAAAAGCTCATGTGACTACAGCAGTCTTAAACTTTGAACACTACGAAGTTATAAATGATAATGAGTTCCATACTTGGACAGGTCTTACACATGCTCAGTTTGCTGGCTTGCTGTCTATAACAACCTGTCTAGATAATAATAAAAATAAAAATAAAATCTATTAGCAGCAGTACCTTTTTTTTCCATGCGGAAATCCCCTCGGATACCACCTATCGGTGGCATGTCGGACTCGAACCGACTAAAACCGCAGGCCGTCTCGAATACTAATAGCCGGGGAACCAAGTATACCCTAGAAAGAAAATCCCTGGTGCCCCGACATTATTAGCAGCAGTACTAGTGAAACTCAGAACTGGAGATTCTAACACTTGATTAGCATCGATATTTAGAACAAGTGAATCCACTTTTGCGCGTATGTTAAAAACTGGCTGTGTGGCATTGATAGAAGATTTTGTCCCGCTTCACCTAGGGTTTGACCATTAAACGCGAGAGGATGTAGCACAGAGAAACCTCACATTACCAGAAGCACTTTTTGGAAATCCCGATAGCCCTCTATCTGAACGAAAGGCGATCGCAATTTGTGATGCTATATATACTCGTATATCTGCAAAAAAGAAGTAATTACTTTTTTTCAGAGAAAGTCATACAGCCTGCATAAATTCCGCAACTTATTAAAACCTTTTTTGATAGTCTGTTGTGATGGACACATTATTGACGTATCTGGACCTCATGCTGCTACCACATCCGATGCCCAAGTTATGAACGACATTATTACTAATGAAACTGACAACGGCGATGGTGTTTTTAATTGGTTTTTTAGACAAGGTGATGAATTTATTTTGGATCACGGCTTCAGAGATGCCATATCACCAATGGAGTCCCTGGGATATTCTGCACATATGCCTGAAGCCAAGCTCCGAAATGAAACCCAGCTGACAACGATGCAAGCAAATAAAACTCGCCTTGTAACTATCTGTCGGTGGGTTGTGGAGGTAGTTAATGGGCGTTTCAAACGGAATTTTAGATTTTTGAGACATGTCAATATAAATCGTACTCACATGTTTGATTGTTTTAAGATAGCGGCTGCTATAATTAATGCATACCATATACTAATAAATGACAATATTCATGCCCAATCCTTTTTGGCCATAGTAAACCATAGAATGTCAATCCCTAACACGCTGGCTGATATAGTTGTAAGGCATAATTATAATAGAAGACCAGCACAATTTCAGCCGATGTCCGCCGATATGCCCGAGTTCGATGATTTTCCAAGGCTCTCAGAAGAGGATTTAATATTATTTAGTTTGGGTATTTATCAAATAAAACCAGCTAAAAGCTATTACGGCGAGCACATCAATCCAAATGGTGTTTTTACGACAGACTTTTAACAGAACACGTCAGAGAATTGGGAGAAAACATAATAATTATAAGAGGAAGAGTACAATCTCGGCATGTTCGGGCCAGAGTATATTATGTTTACATTGGCATCGACACATCATTGAGTGGACGTGATGCCATACCGTATTATTATTGCTCATGCAATGTTGGCAAAAGAACGGTGGGCTGCTGTTCCCACACTAAGTGCATAGTGTGGTACATGACGTTCGCGAGGCACCAACAACCTCCCATAAATCCACCTGCATTAGGTTTAGAAAATGTTGTCGTAAGACCTGCGGAATTATAACATATGAATAAAGCCACGTAGGTAACGAAATGAAGTCTTTTTCTTTACAAATATTTTATAAGACTAATACCTACACATAAATATGTACCTACGTAGGTACTTAGGTATCTAATGATGATTGTATATAATTAGACTTTTTGTCATATTATATTATTATTAAGCGAGATTAAGTTATTCTTTATCATCATTATTTGATTTTTGAAGTAAAAATTGTTCAGACGAACTCGTATATACTCGTAAATGCATTTTTTATTATTTCTAAGTCATAAAACTTATAAGTAATCGGTCTTAGCGCTTAGCCTAGCCTCTAACCGATAAAACCATTTTTTTTCGTTGGCTGGCACTTTTTTTTTTGGGTACTTTTTGTATGGAGCGTGAATGATGTCCTTTATACATTTATCTGTTAGGTTATATAACTCAAAGAAAATAATCTAATTCCAAAGAATTTTCTTTTGAAAAATTAATAGCAGCCCTTGCAATCTAAACATAAATTGGGCATAAATAAGTTAGCAGTACAAAAGAAAATGTGTCTCCATTAAATGTATAGTATGCTTTACCGTCACGCACTATACACCCATTGTGATATGAGATTAATCAAACTTGAGTGTAAGTTTGACACAGCTTTGTGTCCCTAGATTTATAGCATTCCTTTGTTTATTGAAAAGAAAAAATAAGCAGCAAAAAAATAAATAGTAGGGAAAATGTTGACATGAAAAGGGATGAAAATATATCATCACTCGGTCTAGTGGATGAGCTACTTTTTCTATGTTAAAATATTTTATATCAGTGTAAGAAGTGTGTACAGAGTGTAATAAAAATATCAGATACTCTGCACACATCGTTTTGTTGTGCAGCTAGAACACACAGGGAGTTTTCTTTGATCAGAATATCTCGGAATGTCAGGCGGGTCATTGAGCTTATGGGCTTTTAAGTGCGTGGATTTTATTGCAGAATCAAAAATAGATTTATATTTTGCCTGGTATACTCTAGATGGCACTGAAATATATTTTTAATACGTGTATATCGATCCATTACAAGTACTAACTGCATCCAATCTTTTTGTAGTATCCCTATCCACACCCTACCTTATCACCGCGACACAGGATTTTTTCCAAGTGGGGGACTTGTATTTAAAAAAATGTGTTGTCTTTCAAAGTCTGCTCATAGTTTGTAATATTTATTACTATTTTATTAAATACTTAAATTACACTTGGATTGTGTCTTGGCACAAACTACGCAGGACAACAGCAATGCAAAGAGAAGGAAAACTTGAAAAAAATAGCCTAAACGAACCCGTCTAGTCTGCTGGGTATAGTACGCCAAAACTTCCTTTCCAAGGAGAGGCCTTTGTCCAGCAGTGGACTATTGATGATGATATATCGATATATTGTGGCCGTTGATAATGATGACGTTGATGGTACTTGGGAGTAATATTTTACAACAAATACTAATTACACTGCGTAAAACATGAACTTTGCTTTCTTTGGTGAATATAGAGTTGTGTTCATAACCTAGAAAGTAGTAATCAAACATTTGTATAAAACTATAGACACAGTACGCATGTTCTGTTTAGCAGTTCCCGATATGATATCAAATATTTTACGGCACAACCCAGTAAATTACTTTTCCGATAAATTTGGAAGTGTATAAGGAAAATATTTTATTACCCGACTGCGCAAAGGAAAGGGTGGATTCTGATGGCCAAGATTTACGACTCATGTTGTCTGCGCTATACTGTTTCAATAACTGATAGGAAGTTATTGATATGAGAATGTTTTATATAGTATAAAGATACCGCGAATCCCTTTGAGTATTAAGTTAAATCTTATGTTGCACCTTAAGTAAAGAAAAAAAAAAGAAATACATGAACTTTTTTATTGTAAGTGTTGATTGAATATTTTTAGTGCTGGAGGACATTTCTAGCGAGCTTGACAAAAATCTGTGAAGCAACAGGTTGGTGTTAAAATACAGGTAGATTTTGTGATGAGCCGAGTCCCTGTTTTTGTGGATCTAAACGACTCGAGTCAGTTTATACGGTATTCGAATTATGACTCGATTCTGCGATTTGAGGCTAGTACTCGAATTCTATATTTTGTATTCGAATGTTAACTCTAGTCCAGGACTCGAGTCTAGAAATTCGTGTCCAGAACTCTAGTCTGGAAATTCGATCCAGAACTCGGGTCTAGAACGGAATCCTTTAGTGATTTTAGAACAGAAGGAAGTTATCTAGGAACTAGAAATGAGATCAAGTTCTATTTGTTTTAATAAACAACAAAAATAAATCTTTTAAGAAACTATTTAAGAACTTCAGATATTTGTTCTATTAGTTTTTTACAAACATTTTACTTAAAGTCATTTTACTTATTAAAAAGATAATCAAGTTATTAATTTAGTACAACTATCACATCTAGACGAATCAAATAAGCTTAACAAAAGTTATTAAATCGAAACTTTGACACTTAAAAATTTTGGCGTTTCTCAAAAGTCAAATAAAATTCAGGGTGAGTAACCTTGAATTTTATTTGACTTTTGAGACACGAGACGTCTCGTGACGTCTCGTGTCTCATTATTAGGAGCCTATTAAGACAGCTTTAAAGATGCCCATATGTCTAATAAACTCTTGATACCTAGATAGATATGGTGTGCATTGACATCAAACCAGCATTATAACAATACAAAAAAGTAGGTACTCAAACTGCTCAGAATAGCTCAAATGGCTCAGAATATAACATTATACGTACGGTGGTACGTAGGTACGGTGCAATATTACCTAGCTAACTAATGTAAAAAAAGAAAATAAAAGTTATTTCAAATAACTGCTAAAAATAACTATTTGGTCAAACTTCTTGGATTCTAGTCTATTACGACGTGGGTTGTATAAGAGTCCAGCCTTAGAAAAACAACAAATTTTGGAGCATTATCTCCATTTCTCTCGAAAACCAGCTTTCTTAAATCTTGGATCTATGAATGTTGCTTTAGAAACAGTTTTGTTAATTTCATGACTGCCAAATCTTCTATCAAAAATTTCCAATAATTTTGTGTTTAACCTGCTAGCGACTTCAGAATTAGAAGTGCAATTTATAAGCACCACTAGTACGCCGC